GAGCTGCAGTATCTTCATTAGACTGGGCCAAAAAAAACGACTATTTTTTTTTTTAACGGTACTGTGAAAATATCGTTCATGATGATGAAAAAAAATTTTCGTGAAAGTTTGAGCCCTTAATAATCATTTTAAGGGGTCTATCGTTATGAATATTAGTTTTTTTAACAGCTACTGCATTATTTACGGACAAGTCGTACATCATCTATTTTAAAAATTTTTCCATGCCCTATCCTTAAGAAAATTGAATTCCCTACAAAAATGCTTTCTTAGTAAATTGACGTAGGACGAGTCGTTCCTTTGTAATCGGGCCTTAAACATTAATTTATTTTTTCAATTTTTCAATTTTAATTCTGGATTTTGGTAACCACCATAAATATCAATTTTTTTTTAAAGCAAAGAATTATTCTGAGGTAAAATTTCATGCTCTACGAAAAAGGTCTCTTATCATTTTTCATCAAATTCACTCCTTTCAAAGTTATTCGTCTTTATAATCAAATTCAAAAGTAATTAACTGTTTATTTTGCGTTAGACGTAATTGGTTTCGTTTGTTTGGCAAATTTAAGACTTAAATAGTGGAAATACTTTTTTCTTCTGCAGATCAATGAATTTTTTTCAAAAAATCAAAATTTATCGGGGTATTATCTTAATAAATAAAAATATTTTAAGACGATTAATAAAATCTGCCCTCAGTTGATAAACAATGGTTTTATTAAGGTAGTACGGTTATGAAAGCAATATTTCAAGAAATCCTTGAAACTTTGTATATAAGTCATTAAATATATAATACATATGCTGTTAAAATTTGAAGACGATTTACCACACCAAACTTGAGATAATTGCAATTGAAAATTACATTTTTGTACATGTAGCATAGGAGAAGCGTAGGAAAATGACAGTATTTTTAATTTTTTCCATCGAAGGCATTTCAAGACTTTATCAAAAAACTAGTAGATTGAAGAATATGATATTTCGAACAATTAAAAAAAAATGAAAATTCTTTACCATGTTGTTTTCGAGATTAATTAAAATCAATTTCACTTTTAGAGGATTATTGTTAGGAGAGGGGGTACGAAAAACAGCCGCTAGTCACTGAAACCGTAGTGTGTGTGTATATGTATAGAGAATATAGTAGTCGACGAGTACAGTAACGTTAAAAAATCTTAACCTACAACCTTAGCTCTGTCGATACGTATAACATGGATAGCGAGTCAAAATTTTTGATCTGGATTGTCGCGGAGGTACTACTTTAAGATAATACCCCGATAAATTTTGATTCTTCATGCTTGTTTATTTGTCACAATTAAAGAAATTTCTTGTGTTTTTTATTTCTAAAATACAAGATTAAGATCCAAGAATGTACGCAAATTGAATTTTTAACGGTTTTTTGTGGGTATTGTACTGATTCATTCTCAAACGATCTACGATGTGGATACCTCTTCTTCCAACTTTTCCTTTATTTAGTAAAAATTTGCCATCGTGTTGGGATTTCAACTTCTTCGATGTGCAGACTTCATTTCATTGCATGATCGCTTGTACTTGCAATCAGGGCACCTCCTCGGGGTGACGATGGGCAACAGAACCATCTGGCAGAGTCCCTTGGTTAACGGCGTGTGTGCCGTCATGACAGGTACAAGTGATGAGTACTTTACGATGCAGGGATTCGGAAACCCAGTATCGGCGTCTGGTCAGGTTGAGAAAGCAGGCCCGCAGGCGTCGTCATCCAGCGACTGCAGCTCTTCAGTAGTAGAAAACTTGGCTACTGGAGAGTATAGTATCACAAGAAGCAATTCTTATCTATGCAATAAGAGTCCTGATCTATTTTATTACGTTTGTGGGGGGTTTCAGCCGGTAAAAAACCGCAGAACCTTTTCAGATAGATTAAAACAAAATTATGAAGAATGCTTTTGCATTCAAATTACAAATTTGGATTCAGCGTGGGTCCCACACTTTGCTTGTGGTCGATGTAATATTATGTTGACACGATGGAAAAAACCAAAAACGGAGAAAACTTTAAATTTACAATTCCCATGAACTGGACTTCACCAACTCGTTTCGCAAAACTGTTAATTCACGTGGTTAATACTCTTGTTAATTGCTCTCGTACTCCCTGTAGCATTTCCCGACAGCAGAGCCATGGGGTCCACCCTGCTGTCGTAACGGTCGCTTGATAACGACGAGTTCAGGCCCGTTTTCACGCCTTCCCTCGCCAGCACTGAGGTATCCATCCTCTGTACTGTAAACGATGTTTGAATATCTTCTGACATTTCCATATCGTTGTTTGGTGTTGTTCATTTAGCATTACCCGGAGAGCACGTGTAGGGTGTTAAAGCAGTACCTACAGACGCGAACAACGCTACCCTCGTGTTGTTAGGTCAGTTAGTGTGACCAACCCATTAAAGGGGAGTTTTGTCCACGGGAGCGTATTTTGCTTGGTTATTTTGCTTGGCTCCTACCCGCTGTACCTCATCAACTAAGAGATTATCCAAGTGTCATCCAAGGACAGCGAGCGTTCTCCCATCCACTCGGGGAGACGCGCCTGGTAGCAGTATCTCTTCTGCCCCGGGTGTGTGTGTGTGTGTGTGTGTGTGTGTGTGTGTGTGTGTGTGTGTGTGTGTGTGTGTGTGTGTGTGTAGCCGTATGTAAACCTCTCATAACTTTTGAACGGTTCGACCGATTTCATCGCGGTTGGTGCCATTCGAAAGGGCTTGACTAAACTTAGATTTTGAATACAATTTGGAGCGATTTGAACCACTATATTTTGAGAAATCTCAAAAAAACTACAAAAAAAATTTCCGGTTTAGCAAAGCCTCGGCTTTGCGAAAGTCGGTGGTGCCCCCCTCGCGCCTGGCAAAACCAGTGATGCCAACTTGGGGGTTTTCTCTCTTAATTTAGGGAGAAAAAATCTCGATAGGGAGTTTTTGAGGGGGAATAATTTTTTGGGGGTATTTTTTGGGATAAAATTTTAATTGAATTTTTTTTTTTAATTGCACTACTCTCTATACTCCATACTTCTATTCTATCAAAGTTTATAAAAAAATTTGAATGGATCGAATGACACTACTGTCATTGATAGTTACTAGATGGTGCTGATGCATATGTCTACATACTAGTCGTAACAGCTGGCAGCTAAATTTATAATTGTTATTGTTAGTTTAAAGTAATTGTTTGTTTTAAATAATGTAAACCTTAAACCAATAAAACTATACTCGTTGATTGATTGATTGATAGTTCTACGTATAATTAAAATGCCAAAGGGAGAAAAAATTTCAGGTTATTCTCAAAAATATACCACTTAATAGGAAAGAGATGATGAGCTTAAAGGTATGTATGAGTAAACGTTTCTGTAATTACAACATACTTATCCTAATGAGTAATTGCCTATCTCTTTAAAATAATGAAAATGAATATAATTTCAGAATAAAATATGTTTCCAATTCGTTTTCACATTTTTTCGACACAATAAAGAGAAAGGCAATCTTGAGGTTAAGAATTTAAATTAAATATATTTCTATAATAAAAAACTTTAATTGTCCAGGATTTTCGACATGGCTCAAAGGAAAGCTGTACCGAAATTATTTTGTAAATATCAATTTAGGTAATTTATATGTCATGTGTACAATGCATTAAAAGTTTTAAGCATGAAATAAAAAGGGTATCGGTTTGTTAATAATCTTACAATTTATCATTTTTTTCTTTCAAATATACACTATTTTGTCGATAGGGATTTATTTCTTTTCATACGACATAAAGATACATTACAGCTATTATATTCTCAGAAAATCATCTAGATTTTATAAGTTAATTTTTTTAAGTTGCAAAGTTTTTTGTTTGTCATTTAATGATAAATACTAAAAAAATGTAAACTAAATTAAATATTTTTTTCTACAGACTGGATTGGGCCAGATCCTTCTGGACAAATCGACCAAGCTTATTGCAAGTACTGTCGAACATCGTTGAAATGTCATAGAAAAGGTTTAACTGACCATTCAAAAACAAGCAAACATCAAAATTGTGTTTTAAAGGAGAAATCAGCACTCAAAACGAAAAAACTAGATTCGACATTTAAACCTGTTGTCACTGAAAAGACAAAGATTGCTGAACTGAAGATTGCTGCATTTATTTCTGAGCATTGCTCATTAAAAACTGTCGACCATATGATTGAGATGTTGCCGCAGTTAGACCCGTTATCAGATAATTTGTCTAAATTAAAACTTCCCAGAACGAAGTGTACAATGCTTATCAAAAATGTCCTCGGCCCATGTATGCTGCAAGAGCGAATTGAAGAAATTGGGGACTCTCCTTATTCCATAATTGTTGATGAAAGTACAGATTGCTCCACTCAAAAAACACTGTGCATTATGTTGCGTTTTATTTCAATTAAAAAAAAACAGGTTGTAACAACTTTCTACAGGCTTATTAAAATTGTGGATTGTGACACGAAATCTCTGCATTCAGCAATTAAGTCTCAGTTAGAAGCAGATAATTTGAAAATTGAAAACATGGTCGGTATTGGTGTTGATGGCGCGAGTGTGATGGTTGGAAAACATCAATCGGTTATTGCTATTTTTAAACGTGAATTAAGTGACTTGATAATTATGAGATGCGTTTGTCATTCACTTCATCTTTGTGCTGAAAACGCAGCTGCTGCACTACCAAATAGACTTGAATACTTTGTCCGTGAATCTCACAATTACTTTTCTAATAGCCCTAAGCGTTTAGAAAAATATAAAGATTTGTACGAAACCATGAATAATAGCAGAAACTCAAAAAAAATTCAAGGCTTGAGTGGTACACGTTGGCTTGCAAGATATGATGCTATTGAAACTATTACCCAGCCAGCAATATGACGTCTTTAAGATTTGGTTATCATGTTAAACTGTTCTTAAAGACTTCAGAAAACGTCATATTGCTGACTGGGTATTGATCAATGGGAAGAGTTATAGACTTATTTTTTGCTCAATGAAAAAGAATGTTATGCATCGTCTCAATTGCATGATACAATGTCTCGTCTACCGTATAAAGCTTTTCTAATATTTTTAAAATCCGAATTAAAAATAGTGACTCAATTGAATGTTTTATTTCAAAGTGATAATATTGAACCAACAAAGTTATTTGAAGATTTGTTGTTAATGTTTAAAAGTTTACTTCAAAAAATTGTAGTTCCAGCTCAATTACAAAAAGTAAAGGACAGTGAACTGGTTAACTTTGATTTTATGCCACATTTGATGCCATTTCATCCCTTAATTTCAGCTATGAATTTCGATCTATTGCTGAATATTTAAATCCAACAGACTTAAAAGATGTAAAAGAACGATGTAAAAACTTCTGGTGTGTCTTAGAAAGTGAAATCCAAAGTAGATTGCCTGATAATTTAAATGTATTAAAAATGATGGCATATCTTCATCCAAAAGTAGCTACATCTCAAGTTAAACCAAGTTTAAATGAATTTTAAAGAGCTTTGATAGGACTGCATTGTACGGTAATAAAGACGATGTTGAATCTGAGTGGAATAAACTGCAAAATAAGCCATGGTCTAATGTTAACACTTCAGAGAAATTTTTTAGTGAAGTTTATGATGATTGTGATTCTGCTGGACATAATCGGTTTGGGAACGTCGCAAAATTTGCAATGGCTCTACTGACTGTGCCTACTTTAAATGCTAGCGTGGAACGCGCTTTTTCAACTTACAGTATTGTTAAGAGTAAGCTACGAAATAAACTCTCGTTAGATTTGCTACAAAATTTAATGATGTTAAGATTTAGCCTACAAAGAAATTATGGTTCATGCGTTAATTTTAATCCATCTCCTAATATGTTAAAAAAATTCAACGTTAAAATGTATGATTTTAAAGATTCAAAAAGTGAACAGGAGCAAAAAGAAGCTGATGACTTGTTCTTGGCTTTAAATGACTCAGCTATTTAATCAGTTTTTCAAAGACAACTGTTTTCGTATTTTAATATAATTTATTACTTAAATTAGTTAAATAAAATTTTAATTTTTAAATATAATTTAAATAATCAGATATAAAATATCAATAAATATTTGTTTATTATTGACTTATTTTAAAAATATTGTATTATTATTTATTCCTGATAAAAACAAAGACCTTAAGCTGGTAAGTAAATGAAATAAAATATAAAATAATTGAATTTACAGGGAAGCTTCCTGTGACCTTCAAACGTCAAGATCTGATGAAAACTCGATTTTTGCAAAACGGGGTGAAAACAATAACTTCCCAATTTTAAAAATCTTTGATTTTCTTAGCGGGAAGTTAAAAAAAAATTTATTTTGAATTTAAAAATTCACATTTTTGAAAAAAAAAACAGTTCTAAAAATTTTAGGATCTTTTAAAATTAGTACAAAAAAGTTGAGCCAAAATTTCGATGTCGATTGACATTTTCGACGATGTTCAAAAATTCGAAATTTGACGAATTTGGCATTTTTTCAATAGCTCCAAGTGTCCCCTATCAAACAAACGAAAGTATATTCCTGTATCTATCATATCGATCGAGATATTACGAAATTAAAATTAAAAAACTGGAAAAATCGCGAAATTTTGCAAATTTAGAATTTGCATATCTTTTGATAAAAAAATTTTTTTTTTTCCTTTCGTTTAGCGTTGTTATATGATAAAAGATAACTTCTGTTCAAAATTTGTCTAAATCGAAAGGCTTCCTTTTCAACTATTGTTTGATTTAACATGGAATGACCCATAAGTAAATTTTTTTCGTTAATAATTAATAAAGATTAGCATTTGTCAAATTATTCAGAATTTTGGATATTTATTCTATTAAATATATATGCATATTATTATTCCAAAGTCGATAATAATGGGTTTTTAATACATATAAATTGATTTTCTTGTGTTTAAGAAAAAAACAAACCGTAATTTTTAACAGCCTGAAGTTTGAGGCTCGATATCTTTGAAACGGCTTGACTTACGCAAAATTTTAATCAGACCTTTTTTGTAAAGCATTTAGTTTCCCATAAGAAAAAGGTTTAGTTTCACCTATAAAGTAGCTCGTTGTCACGTTACGAAATTCCAAACTTTAAAAAAATATTTTTCTATGTTATTTAAACGGGAAATAAAAATTACATGACGCCACCTCTAAATGTTAATATTAAGAGCTCATATTTTCAGAGGATCTTCTTATAGAGATACTCTGACGATTTCTCAATGTTCATTGGAAAAAAAAAAATATTCGATTTTTTTGATACACTCTAATATATATTTTAGAGTAATCCAAAAAAAAAAGTTTTTTGCCTATCATCTTGAAAGCTTATCTAAGGTATAAACAAATTTCCCTTCAAAGCGCGGCTTAATGTCTCAATTCTTCATGAAGCTGAATGAATTTTTATTTTCCCATTTAAAAACACGAAAAAAAATTTTATTTACGTGTTATTTGAAATTTAATTCTCTACAAAAAAGCACTGACGTAGATTTTTCGAAATCTCAACGAGTAAAAAGTTATTGATTTTTAAATACTCGCACAGAAGAAAATTCAAACGAAGACAGTTTCAAAGCAACTTTTCGGAAAATTTTTTGGGAACTGCATGTATTTATTTCAAAATTTATCAAACTAAACTGTTTCTAGTATAATTAACACATGTCTTTTGGTTACGTATTAACTAAGAATTATGAATAATTTCTCTCATTACGATTTGGATATTTTTTCCTATGAGCAGTGATTTTTCAAAATTGAACTTGAATTTCATTACGGAATCTGAATCAAGACCAAGCTAGTACTTCCGGATGTATACTGAATTTAATTTTTTTATTTAAGAACATGTAGGACAGGTGAATATTTAAATTTTGAACATGATGCTAGGACACTTTTTGACCGAATAAAAAATCATGAAACTTTGCAGGAGTACGTAAATGGAAGTCCTTCGTGAATTAATTCTTTTATTTTTAAATTTAATCATTGAAAAAAAAATGATAAATAAACAGGTATAGTTCGTGCGTAAAACTGCATTATCTCAGAAGTCATCACATATTTAAGTAAATAAGATTGACTCTAAAGAAATTGCTAATAAACATACAACCAATATGATCTTTGAGAGTGATTCAATTTTTTGGTTTTTCTTATTTTAGTTTATATGACTTATAAGACATAATTATTAAAACGTAGCTAGGTTAGGGTAAAAAACTAATTGTAAACAAAAAAATTAGGAATACGGTTGACCCTGAAAGCCATCCCTGCAACTTCCCGCCAATTCTATACCTAAACGCTTGAAATTGCACTTATGACGTTTTAGAGCTCTTCGAGCTCATAAATGCAATTTGTGTATTATTTTGAGCTCTCTGAGCTCAAAAAAATAGCTTTTGTATACTTTTGAGCTCGTCGAGCTCAAAAGTTTGATAGACGTTTGATAAAACACTATTTTTTTTATTTTCAAATCGCAATAACTTTTGAATGAATAAACCGATTTTCACGCGGTTGGCGGCATTCTACGCAGTTTTTTAAGCCTCATAAAGAATTCTTAAGTTTCAATTGGTTACACTAGAAATTTCGGAGTAATTCCAAAAAAACACTTTTTAACATTGTCTCTACTATTGTCTCTGGTTGAATTCTCCGGTTCAGGATCCTTTCTAACTCATTTCGCTGAGGATCAAAACGTGGACACGCAAAGAAAACGTGCTCTGAGTCCTCAATAACTCCTAGACAAGACGGGAACTCCGGAGAATCGTCATGCTTAAAGCGGCGCAGGTATTCTCGAAAGCACCCATGTCCCGACAACATCTGCGTTAGATAATAGTTGACTTCACCATGATTTCGGTTCAGCCAAACATCGATCTTTGGTATGAGGCGGTATGTCCATCTTCCTTTTGCTGCGGCATCCCACTCAAGTTGCCATCGCGAGATGCTGTGCTACCGTTCTTCTGTTCTAAGTTCTTCAGGGCTCAGTGTAGGTGACCTTTTTCGTTGGTAAAGGGCCCGTCTTTCCTCTGCTAGTACTCTAAGCGGCAGGGTTCCAGCAATGACGCACACTGCTTCTTCTGATATTGTACGGAAGGCACTGGCAACTCTCAGAGCGCTCTGTCTGTAAATGGGACCCGCTTTTCTCCAAGATTCTTGCATTTCTAATGCGTCAGCCCAAATGGAAATACCATATGTGAGCACAGATGTTACTACTGATGACAGCAGAAGTCTTCTGTTCTACTTTGGTCCACCAACGTTGGGCATCAGTCGTGCTAGGCTCACTCTAACTACTGATGCTTTGGTAGTCACATATTCGACTTGTTGCTTGAAATTGAGTCGAGCATCAAGCATCACTCCCAGGTACCGAATGTACGGTTATGATGTGATCTCATGTTCTCCAACTTGTAACTTGATGGTTTCTACCGCTTTCCTGCTGGTAATGAGCACTGCTTCGGTTTTATGCTTAGCTAGTTGCAAGTTCACCGTATCCATCCATAAGTTAATCCGCCTAAATGTAATGTCGAAGGCCAGATTTATCTCTTCAAGGTGCTTCGCGACAATCACCACAGCAACATCATCTGCATATGCTACCAGTTTCACTTCTGCTGGCAATGCTATTTTCAGGAGACCATCATACATGATATTCCATAGCAGAGGACCTAGAACTGAGCCCTGTGGTACACCACCAGTAATATCATACTCCTTAGGACCACTTTTTGTGTCATATTTGAGGACTCTGTTTGTGAAGTAGATTGCTACCATTCTACGCAAATACCCTGGGACTCGTTTCTCTTCAAGGCCGCGCATTACACAGTCCCAGTTAGCAGAGTTAAAAGCACTTTTGATGTCTAATGCAGCCACCAAACAATACTTTTGTGTGCCGCGATTCCATCTATTTCCAGCAATCGCATCCTTAGCTGTATTGACGACCAGGTTTATTGCATCCACAGTTGACCGTCCTTTTCGGAAACCAAATTGGTTATCTGCCAGGAGCGGATCAACTACTGCTTCTATTCTTTGGTCAATTATCCGTTCTATTATCTTACCCGCCGTGTCTAACATGCAGAGTGGACGGTAAGATGATGGTTCATCAGCTGGCTTCTTTCCTTTCGGGAGCAGTACAAGTCCTTGCCACTTCCACCTTTCAGGGAAGACTCCTTCTTTGAGACACGCATTGTAGGTATCTATGAATAATGCCGGCGCTGCTTTAATGGATGTTTTTAAAGCAATGCTTGGAATTCCATCCAATCCTGGCGCCTTATTATTCCCTACACGATCGCATGCCTCCAACAATTCCTCCTCTGTGACAGGTGGGATGTCTTCAGGGTCAAACTGCAGTGATGAATGGATCAACTCACGTTGCTGAGGAAACAACGTACAGACGATTCTCTCTAGTAGCTGTGGGCAGGTAGGTGACGGCATTAGTTGATATTTCAGGTGGGTCATGACCACCGTGTACGGTCTGCCCCACAGATCGTTCTCTACCGCTTCAACGAGTTCCTTCCAACAACGTCTTTTGCTATCTTTGATGGCTTTATGCAATTCTCGACGGGCCTTTTTGTACTCTGCCACCAGTTCTGCAAAGTTAGGTCGACGGTAGCCACGCTGAGATATTCTTCTTCTTTTAAAACACTCTTTACGAAGAGCGCTGATGTTATCGTTCCACCAGTGTACCGAAGATCGATGATTCATGCCACGTTTCAGCATACAAGCGTCGCAGGCCTGGGTCACTCTCTTCATTAGCTCTTTTGCTTTCTCTTCAGCACTCCCTGTGGTAGTCGAGTCGGTATCTAAGGCTACTATCAAGGTACCTGGGTCAAATGCTTTCACTTTCCATCCAACTGCGTTAGTTTGTCTTGTTGCTTTTCGAGGGTTCTGGCCAGTTGATACTTCCAAAAGAACGGCGTAGTGGTCGCTGGCAGTGTAGGTGTTCATAACTACCCAAGAATAGTTTCCTCTTGTAAGACTGCTGCTGACGAACGTAAGATCCACTATAGA